CAGATGTACATGAGATGATGTGTTCAAAGCAAATGATGGGGGGCCACTGTAAGTAGCCTATTGTCTCACTGTTTCCTTTTTAACAGGAAATATGGTCCTCTTTTGAAGACCGGTAGATCTGTGCAGGCTGAGGCACGTCAGGTTGCTTGGAAAGCACGTAGATACACATGCAAGCAGAACACGTAGGCATGCACATATTCAATCACACAAACATATCCAAGGTAAAGTCTTCCCTTGGACATACATAGTGCAGAAGGCACAGCCATCACTCTGTGCTGTATCTATCATCCTGTCTACAGTATTAATGATAGATCACAGAGATTTTGCACAACTCCTGACAGCCTTGGCTCTTTGCAGTTCCCAAAGCCAATTAATCATCCCAGACAATCTGCTCAGTCCTGACTCAGTGAGCTCAATTCAGACATAAAGCACCTCCAGTTGAGCCATCAGCATGTGCCCTTGAACCTGTCTGAATACTGTAAAGCTGGTAGGAACACTGATAAGATACCACATGTGTACGTACAATATACAGCCTACTATGCATGGCACTGGACGTTCTAGAAAACAATGATCTTATGGTACACACTGACTATACACAGGGTCACTAAAACCAGGTTGTCTTTGGGACACAACAGGGTACTAAGGTGAAGTACTACTGTATGTGGCCTGCACAGGTGAGAAATATAGCAGAACTGAAATATACCTGACTTGGACATGAGAAATAACACACAAACCTTTCAGACACTACAGCACTGTGCACAGACAAACTCTTTCAGTCATGTTTTTCAGTCTAATAGAACAAACACAAGCCTGATTATTCAAGTACAGCTGTCTACATAGGCCACCTAACAACTTGTAATTTACTCATAATATATGCTCTTAAATGTAACCTTTACACTTCTGGTCTGCTTTCTTCTGTTATACCAAATGGTACGACAGTGTTTGTGTATTGCACTTTGAGGTTCTCCAAAGTGCAGATGACCTACAAATCAATACTGTGAGTGAGCACGTCTTGTGCAGCACCAAAGCAACTGCTACTACTCTGCTAGCATGCTGCTCACACTACACCTCTTGTGTAGAGACCTAGGGCCCATTCAACTTGCAAATTAATTAAGTATAGACTTGACTTGCAATTTTTGTACACACACAGATGCATGCCCTTCTTTACATCATATGTGTTCAATCTCCAGATGAAAACTCAGATCAGAACTCTGAAACACATCCCATTGTTGCCTTCCACCATTTTATCAGTCTTCTTATCAGCAACTTCCCCATTTGCACCTTCAGCACCAAAATCAGGTCCTTGAGTATGTGTCAGGCATGGGTTGAAAACCACATACAGTGATATGAATCTAAAGTGATGTCAGTGTGGACAGTAATTTTACTGGCTCCCACTGAAGGACTTGAACATATAAAAACCAGCACTGGTTAGACAGCGTGTGTGAAGTCAAAGAGCATTAGCAGCTAAATAGTGCAAGAATAAAAAAAAGATATACCTTGTATCTCAATTTATGATTTTCAGATTTGTTGTATTTTTTTTCATTACTATTATCTTATTAGCTAACTCATCTAATCATAATAAGGTACCAATCTCAGTCCCCACAACCACTCACCAGCATGCACACACGGACACACACTCTCACACACACACACACATTTCACATCCTATAACGCTTTGCTGGAAGTAAACAAAGAAAATTTCAGTGATTCCGGTTGTTCCAATGAGGATTGAAACTTGAGCCCCATTTTTTGCTATCTATTTTTAATTTTGGCAAAATGGCACCATTAAAGGTATACCAAATTGGCCTTTAGTTTTTGCCTTTTAATTTTTTCATAGCTGTTTTGTGTTATATATTGGGCTAATAAACATACTTGAGGATGGTGTAGCAGGCTTGGCTGGATGAAGAACTGACCCTCAATGCCTCAATGTTTGCAAAAAGTGCCATCAAACATTATTGGTCTTAAAGTAACAAATACAACTTAGTACAGACACTGTAGACATGTTACAGTAGTTTCCTTTCTGTTTTATTTGCAAATACATCTTGAATAGAACAAAGAAAAAAATATATAATATATTCATAAGTACTGAAACATCAAGTTATGTACACATTTAGGGTTTATACTAGAACTCTTCACAACCACTGATTTGTTTCAGATATGGCATCAGAATAGTCCTTCTGTGTTTCCTGGATGTAGCGATGTACACGCCTGCATATTTACATACATTCATAGGATGCAATAAAACACCTTGTTCACACAAGCATTAAAAATTCGAAAATTGAATGAAAGGAATGATGTACAAAGTTGTGCACCCCTACTTGCTGTCATTTTACATACATGAATGATACAACGGCGGCAGCGTCACACTCCTACATATTCACAGTGGGGCGTGATACAAATAGCAAACAATGTTTGCAAGCAACAGGGCATTAGAAAGCGTATCATGGACTCAAAAGGGATGTCATGACTACATTTCCCAGAAGCTCATCTTCCTGGTAGTTCAGCACCATGTTCATTAATGTCACCTCAACAAAATAACTGCCAGCTCAGGTCAGCAGCTGTCAGGGTGTCTCCAGTCTCCGGTAACAGATGAAGCAGAGACAAAGCAGCTTTTGTGTCAAGTCGGGTTAATCCATCAGCAAAATAAGAATTCAGAAAAAAAGACATTATTTGACACTGAAAGACTGAGGCATTCAGTTCTGTGACCATGAATGAAAGGTGCCATATTATGACACAATCTGAATGATCACTCAACACCTGATTAAAATATGGATTACTGAAAAGCCTGATTTCCAAAACCATCTGGCTCTCTGGTAAGGCCAGAAAAGTGATAATCATAGGAAACCAGCAAGCAGGTACATACAGTATAATAGCTTAATAAAATAACAACAAAGAACAATACTGATCAGAAGGCTGACTGAACAATCATTGTGTACTTTTTGTTGTGTTTCACTTCTGCAGTTCTTGTGTTGCTCTGTTGTTCTCCTTGTCCCCCTCGCAGTAGGTTTACAAAGTTGCTGTAAACATGTGAGATGAATCCTTGAAAATTATGGTTAGATTTCCCTTATTTTCTTATGCAGTCAGTAGTTTATGTCCATGTAGTATAACAGTTCCTTCCCTGTGCGTCAAACACCAGGCTGAACGACAAATGTTGTATCTGCCTTTTCTGTCAATGAACTGTGGTGCAAGGCAGCAAAAGTAGGGCAAACTTCCTAAACATTGCATAAGATAAGGAATGTCCAAAACATTGGCAGCTTTCAGGATGATAAAAGGCAAGGCTATTATCAAGCCCATCACATAGCCCAGATTGAAAAAAATAAGATTATCTTATCTTCTGGTGAGGCAGGAGATAAGGCCAGAACAAATATAAGGAATACAACATATGAACGCACCACCAGCAACAACAACCTTCAGCTGATTACAGACAGGATGGTAACTGCATCGGTTTACAATAAATTAAAACAATCATAAGTTGATTATAAAAATGCACGGGCTTCTTCGACTCACATATTCATATTGACTTGAAGAAGGTGCAAAAGTGTGTGCACACTCCCATATGTTTATACTCGCACCTTGCTCCCATGGCCTATGTCTGTATGACAGTGACTCCAGTCATCCAAGCAGGGAATCAGTTTGCTGAGTTTAGTGTCCGGCTGCTTCGTGGAAAACGGTGCACTTTGATGTGTTTTGACAGGTGGTCGCTGCGGGCAAATTTCTTCTCACATAAAGGGCACTGGTAGGGCTTGACCCCCGAGTGGGACCGCCGGTGTCGAGACAGCTCGTCTGACCGCGAAAACCTGCATGAAACAAGAAGAAGAGACATGGAGAAAGTCAGAGATGTGAATCTGGTCTTTACCAACTCCTGAGAGAAATATCTGGCTCATCAACTGCTAAATGCTCCACTAAGTTCACCAGCTAGGATCTAACTATGTCTATGTGTTGAGCAGGTTGACAGTGAACCACAGCAAGAATGCGTCACACATCTAGACAGCATCCATGAAGCAGAGGGGAGCTGTAAATATTTTAAATTACAAACTTCCTTGGCGCCACATTACAGGAGCTGTAGGTAGCAATATTAATGGTGTAATTTACTTTCCAAGAGGCTAAACTGAAACAAGCCTGTATCTGTGAGGGAAAGCATCATCCAGTAACATCATTCTCTGTTGCAGGTGTGCACGATAAAAGAGAGGTGACTTTTCTCTAGCAAAACAATCCATCTGTGTTACAAAGTTCCATTTAATTTTTAGTGTTTCTGATCATAAGCATGTCATGTCTTCTGCTGCTCATCTCATTTTGGTCGACAGTTGTAGTGTAATTTTGGTTCACCACTACAAATAACAAAACTGCACATGTAAATATTTAATGTTTATTTTGAAACTCAAATGTTTTTCAACTTTCGCTGAAATCTTGAAATTTTAAGAAAAATAGATTCAATAACGGAATGAAAACTAAATTCAGAGTTAAGTTGAACACTATGGATCCCAACAAACCAAGCCACACCTGCTCACTATAGGAGTACAGCAGTGTCTGTGGTATCTGTGTCTGTATGACTATCATCTATGCTAGCTGCTCTTCAGCTGTGTAAGCTGATGGATCTAATCATAATAAGGTACCAATGGATGGAGCCAATCTGAAGTGACACTGACTGAGAGGCAGGGTACACCCTGGGCAGCTCACCAGTCTATCACAGGGCTGACAACCACACAACCACAGAACTGCTAATCAACCTAACTCCATGCAGACAGGCCCCCGTCAGGATTTGAACCCAGAAACTTCTTTCTGTGAGGCAACCATGCCGCCCCAATATTTCTGCAGATTAAAAAAAAAAATTTTAATCAGACTGCCAACTGATGCCACTGGAAATCTGGGCTGGACTGGGTTTGCACATGTGCTTGAAACAGGCAGGGTTGAAAAACAGTTGATTCTGTACAGATCTTTTCTTCTAACCTTGAAAGAGCAGGGTGTACTATCCACTATGAGCCTTAGGTGAAAGCATGTAAGTTTCTCTTTTCTGGCTAAGCATTCCCCTCATGTGTAGGCACATTACCCCCACCCCGCCCCCGGGAGCTCCTGGTTTCATTCCTCCTGCAGTCAGCCTGACAGAGTTGAGTAATACACACTAGGCTTAACAGGCTCATGCTCTCTGTGAAACATCCAGGGCAAACTTGGCTTAGCATATTGGTATGTGCTCGCATGGCTGAAATTCAAAGACAAACACAGAGGTATTGGAAAACTTGGAAAACTGGTCCACTGTCCAACTTAGCCAGAAATCAGCCTCCAGTGTCACCCATGGCACCTTTGGCACAGTTTAAGACCAAACTGTAAAGAATGTATTAACAGGTATTCATCTTAAAAATATGCACTAAATATGAATTAAATCAGTAATAAAAATATAATTGCTCAGTGAATGGGCCCACAGGACAGTGAACCACTCTGCTGATTCATTGTAGGCCATAATGTCTTAAAGCTTATTCGTCTGTTTTCACAGTAAGTCTGTTATATTCTTGTAGGTCACTGATAAAACTGACACCAGATGTGACTGAGTGATTTGAACTAGCATGGACTGCATTACTAAGACCAGTAAGTTAAGATCAGCTTGTGATGGGAGACTGTTTTAAAGCTGTGTGTGTACCAAAGCTCCCTGTGTAGATCCCCTTCAGATATGGTTTGGGATGGAAAAAAAAACCTCTGCTGAAAATAATAATTTGTCTCTCATTTCAATGAAGCAATAATAATATAAATATATTTTTCAAATTAATTTGATTTAAGTTTCAGATTTCACAAATGCCTGTTTTGATCTATGCCACAAGCACCAAGATGTTTACTGGATATTTGTGGAGGGGCCCTGAGGAAAAAACTTGGTTTAAGAATGTAATAATTTTTAGTTCATATTGTGCTGTAGACATGGTGCACATTCCAAAATACATCTGAAAGGGGTGGAGGTCAACTGGGGCCTCAAAGCCAACTTTTCTCTTAGAGCCACAAGGTTATAGCCAGCCACAGCTGTTTTAAATTTGAAATAATTCATGTTCAGAGTTCATGAATCCTCATGCCATTTTACAAAAAGAGCAATGGTTACCAACTCTTAGGGTCCTGAACCTTGGTACCACTCATCATAGTAGTCACTACTTAGTGTAGTAGTTTAGTGCATGGAGCTCTGTAGCAACAGAACTACTGGTGATATGTGAATGATTCTAATGTCTATGCTCTCACAATCTTCAGAGCTAAACTGACTAGAAAAACAGTCTACTAAACTTGAAATGAAACATTTTTGGATGTCTTCCTGGAAGAGACTCTTTGCTCTGTAAATTTTGTTCAGTCTGGGCTGACACTGTTGTATATTGAAACATACAGCACTAAAATCAGTTCATCTTTCCATCTAGCTGTAATTCCTGCCAGAGTAAGTGAGAAACCTTGACTGATCCCTCTGTTCCCTTTCATGCAGCGTGGCAGCCTGGACGTTCCTAGCCCACAGTCATGGTTACTATTCAACACTTTGTCTTTGTGCGCTCCACTTCCTCAGTGCTGCTCCCTTCAAGTGATTGTGTGCAAAACTGAACCAGGCCTTTTTCTCCTACTCTATCTGCTGGTTTCAATCCCCACATCCCAACACCAACATCACTTTCCCTCCTGTTTTAAGATTCCCAGTTACTCTCTGCACCTCATTTCATTCACTTGCTTGTCTGAGACTTTTCCAAACCTTTTTTTTCCTTTGGTTGGCCCCCTCTTGTACTTCATTACATACAGTGGCTTCCACACACTGGTTCTCACTCACACACACACACACACACACACACACACACTTCCATCCAAACTAGATCCTGCCTTTTGTGTAAAGACAAGAGCCCTTTGTTAGTCCGAACACAGCCTGGATTACTACAGCACACATTTCTGCAGCTACCTCATGTATTAGGACACACTTGTGCAGCATTATATCAGGCCATCAGGTGAGTGTCGGGCCGTCAGGTATCTCTCCGTGGCTGGCGGGTAAACTTAACACAGCAGCAGGTAGCAGCGGGGCCGAAATGGAGAATGGTGTAGAGGAATGTAAAGGCAGTTAAACATAAGGACAGGTGAATGTCAGGTGACTAACAGATAACCACATGCAAAACAGAAGCAGTAACAAAAACTCAAAACAACTAAACACGCAGGGCAAGAAAACGATAGAAAACAAACCAGAAAGCGTAGAACCACTTGTGGAGAAAACTCAGAGCGTGTCGGCGTGAACATCAAAGAAGTACTGCAGAAGCTGGGGGCGAAGTTCGGGGTGTGCACGTCAATGAACCAGCGGGGAATGAGCAGAAAACAGGGTGCATATGTATGGTATGTGGCCGGACCGGGAGATAATGAGCTGCAGGTGAATGGAATAATGTAACTAGTATGTAGAGCAGAGGAGGCATAGTGAATGAACCACCCTATATCAATTCAGTAACACTGTAATGTTCTGTGACAAACTGTGTTTGTTCTCATGTTGCATTTGAGTCCGTCTCACTGGCTGACCTAATGTCCTCAGCTCAATTCCGGCGACTCAAGACACTTTACTTTAATGAGCAAAGAAATTGCCTCACTGATGAAGACATCCACGTTCTCTCTCTGCCTTCCTCCATTACACACAGCAGGTTCCAAATTAGCTCTTGCTGATCTATACATAGCAAACACACACACAAACACACACACATCTTTGTT